ATTTGTGTGTGATCTGGCGAGTATATCGCTATGTGCACCCACCGGTGCCCGGTCTTGATGGTCTTGATTGTTTCTTCGTTCTTGACATTCCAGACTCTTGCTGTCCCGTCATAGGATCCGCTCAGCACTCGCTTACCATCCGCCCTCCAACACACTGACATCACACGTTCAGTGTGCCCTGTCCATTTTGCGACGACCTTTCCCGTCTCGACATCCCACAACTTCACTTTCCCATCTTTACTTCCGCTGACGATAGTCCTGCCGTTGGGAGACAATGCCATGCTGTGCAGCTCTGCTTCCTTATCCTCCTGATCTCGCCAGTCCTCGCCTATCTGTGTGCCACTCTCCAAGTCCCATAGTCGTGATGACCCATCCCTCGAACATGTGATGATCCGTCGTCCCTCACGCAGGTGCGCAACACCTTGCACCCTGTTGGTATGGCCTCGCATCGTTTGACGGGGCGTGACTGCTGGCGTCTTATTCGTTGGGAAAGACATGGTCGGCGTGGGGGAGGTCTCGAGTATACCAGATCTATCTTCTTTAACTTCAGCTACCACCAATATAAAGGCACAAGCCATTCCTCTAGGCCTCACCAGATAGCTGCTTATAGGAATCCGGTCCTCCGACTTCGGCACTGTGTATATAAGAATTGCCTATTGGAGAATGCCCAGAGACCCTGGTGAGTGTCCAACGCCGTTAGTAAGGAGTGGATATGTTGCAGAAGACCCTAGAGCATCACTGACGAGGAGCACCGTTTAGAGTGTGGCCAACAGTGGGCGTTTGCAATGGAGTCGAGGAACTGCTTGTTCAAGCATATTTTTAGGTGCATTACATGTGTCATCCTGTGTCTGCTGATTTGCTATTTAGACGAGGCGCCCAAGTCTGCGACTAGCGCTAGTTGCTTCTTCCCACATCTGATGGGCTACTTCGGTGGCGGTGAGAGAGTTCAACGGCGAACATCTCTCTCCGTCTCATATCTTTATTCCGAAATCGATGCTATCAAGCCTTCAACATGCCGTTGTACCACCAACGTAGTCGCAATGTCCTGCTCTTGTGTATTACCGCCGGATTTACATACTTATCACGAATACTTCAAGTACCAATATATCAAAGATCGATGGAGCTATTGACAAGTATCTGCCGGACGCATCTGGGGATGGATGATATGTTCTGGCAATGTACGAGTACCCAGAATATGATCATGAGTCGCAGCAGATAAATTTGAACGCTTCCTACTTGGGAGCGTCATAGGGTGAGTATCTGTTCAACAGCCGATCTCATCTAGCTTGGTGCTGCGATGTTCTTCAAAATATACGGGAGAAAGCGAATGAGCATGCATTTCATGCACATTTGTAGGACGCAACCTTGTGGTGAGTTGCAATCTAGCGGTGTGGCCACTCCGATATATATAACTGGAACTTCGCATAGGCACGAAGGAGCCCCATCTCACCTTTGGCAAAAAACGCTTACAGTCTGGAACTCTGGATTGTTTATCCTGGTGCTCCAATAGGTTAAAAAAAATTCTACTTGCAATACGTTCTTCCGACATCCTCCCTGCCATGCCATTTGCCAGGCGCAACCAATCTGCCAGTCCAATAGTTGCACTCCCAAGGTTCTAGACACCCTCACCGTGAAGTTGCTCACAACACCAATTGTACGACATGAAAGCTGGCTGCGTTCAGCGTACCGCACCCCTCACCTCAGTGATATTAGTTAAGATTCTCCTTCACAAAGCTCGTATCACATCGCACAAACCATGCATTTCTCCTTCGTCGTCGTCCTTACTGCTTTGGCAGCATGCATGTCCGTTAGTGCATGTAGCACATGGGTGCAGCGTTGCTCCACTGACAGTGATTGCTGCACAGGCTTGCACTGTCTTCCCGGCCAAGTGAGTATAAGCAGTTTACTTTGCATCCAGGATTAAACGCCATTACTCACCTCTTGTGATGCTAATAGAATGGTGATGCCAATTCCTGTGGTTAGGCTTCCTATGGGCCAGTCAACGAGACGAGAAGCACGACTGGAGAGTGAGTCAAGTTTCTGCGTTCGCATTGGGCCGTTGGCATCGTCCAATATACAGTTCGTTGCTGACTTGATCGCTGTAGTTGCTTCCGGAATCTGGAGAAATTTCACTGGTGTATGGACAACGGTGTCAGCACCTGTAAATCAATAGTTACGATCCCATATGCTCAATATCATGAACACAAAAAACCGCTGGCGTTTATGGCCGGTACCCGTAGTTGCACACTGGTAATTATGTAGCCCTGTGCAAAACCGATGTTTCGGGGCTCCGGCAGAGAACTGAGCAAATACCGGTGCACAAATTTGGAGCATGGGCATTATAAAGGGCATCTTGCTCGTCCGAGGTTGAATTTTGCAAACATAACCTGAAAGGCTACATAGTAGCTGATGAGTTGGCGATGATATTGCAAAAGTCTACGGATAAGAGGAACCTGGGCTGATCCTAGGCTTTTATCCTGTGAGTATAGTGATGCTCTCGCGACGGTTAGTATGATCGAGTTCGCTGCGTTGCACGAGTTTCATGGCAAGGAAACAGGATCGATGGATTAGGGGCAGATATGAAAAAAATGATTGTACATATGTTGTTCCTGTATTAATGACCATTGGCGTGCGGGGGAGATGCGCAGCATAGAAACAAAACAAACCGAGCCCATAATGGGATGGGTGGTGACTGCGCGGTTGCTGCACCTGGTGCGCCAGTGATGGTACCTTGAGCAGGTGTGGTGGTGGGCTGAGATTGCGACGACGAGCCCTGGGCGTGCAACGGACTTTGCTGCTGCGGCCACGGTCGCGGAGCAACAAATAATGTCTGAATACAAATTATTAAACCACCGCGATGGGAAATAGATGAGAATAAAATACCTGTTTGTCCGGTACTGTAGCAACTTCGACGATAGGAGGACCGCGAGAAAAGATGGAGCGCCTTGGGCGTTGCTGAAGTTCGGTTGCTCCATCAACATCGGAGTGAGAGCGGTGGAAGAACGACGAAAGTCGTTCCAGAAGGGCACGTGGAATGGCAGATAGAGATGGGCGAGGACTGCGAGGATTGTGCGCAGGAGAGAGAGTACGGGTACCACGTGCTGTAGAGGACTGAGAAAGGTTAGAAAGAGCTGGCCAAAAATGGAGACGACTCACCTGGGTGCCGTCGAAAAAGCCTGGTGGTATTCGACGGGCCTGAATAGGTGGACGTCTGGTAGTACCCTATAATTTCAATCTTAGAATGGTTGGGCAGAGGGAAGAAATGGATCACGTACGTCCTTTAACGACTTTCGGGTTGGGACCTGCAAGTGAGAGATTAGTCTGGTTCGAAAAGCACAAGGCACCTGGACTCACATGATCAATGAATAGTAGGTCCTCGTGGCCAGCGTCTTTGAGGATGGCGTGAATGTCCCATACATATGCATTTTTGTCCTGGCAACCGGTGACCAGCACTTTACCATCAGCGGAAAGAGCTGCGCAGTTTACTGCATCTTCGTGCTGGAGGGGTGGACCGACTTGGAGGTTTGTATCCAGATTCCATAGACGCACTGTTTTGTCGTTTGATGCACTCACAAGGAGGCGGTCGTTCTGAAACAAGATGATGGTGTTGACCGAGCTTGCGTGACGCTCCAGAATGGCGATCTGCTCTGAAGTGGTTGTGTCATATATCCTAATTGAGTCATATGCTGAACCGCCGGAGATAAGTTTCTTTCTGTCTGACGTCCAGGCCAAGCTGAGAACTACGAAGCTATGTTTGAGTGTGGCGAGCAGTTTGCCCGTCTCTGCATCCCAGATTTTTATATATTCCATTTTTATACCTTCGACATCTTGGTTGAGTCCTCCTGTCCCAATTTGTGTGTGATCAGGCGAGTATTTCGCCGTGCGCACATACGTGTGCGCGGATTTGATTGTCAGGATTGTTTTTCCGTTCTTGACATCCCAGACTCTTGCTGTCCCGTCATAGGATCCGCTCAGCACTCGCTTACCATCCGCACTCCAACACACTGATGTCACACGTTTAGTGTGCCCTGTCCATTTTGCGACGACCTTTCCCGTCTCGACATCCCACAACTTCACTTTCCCATCTTCACTTCCGCTGACAATAGTCCTGCCGTTTGGAGATAATGCCATGCTGAGCATCCTTGCATCCTTCTCCTCATCATCTCGCCAGTCCTCGCCTATCTGTCTGCCGCTCTCCAAGTCCCATAGTCGTAGTGACCCATCGAACGAACATGTCGTGATCCGTTGTCCCCCAGGCAGGAGCACAACACCTTCTATATTTTTGGTATGGCCTCGCATTGTCTGACGGGGCGTGACTGTTGGTGTCTGTTTCTTCTTATTGGTCGGGAAAGACATGATTGGCGCGGAGGAGGTCTCAAATATACCAGATCTATGCGAGAGAAGCCTGCCAGGATCTTTGAATTGAAACGAGTTGTCTGGCGATGGCAAATATTTCTGGTGAGTCAACCTGCCTATCTTCCTTAACCTCAGCTCTCGCTAATATAAACGCACAAGCCATCGCTTACCAGATAGCTTCTGCACTATAGGAATCCGCTCCTCACCCAGAAGCCAATTTATGCAGGAGTTGCGTATCGGAGAATGTACAGAGATCTTGTAGCGTATCCAAAGTTGCTCGTGAGCAGGTGCATATGTTGCAGAAGAACCCAGAGTATCAAAAACTCACGAGAAGTTTACACACCCAGTGCTCAGATCACCAGCAATAAGTGAGTGTTTGGGTTGGAGTCAAGGAAGTTGGGCACTGTTTCATTTAAACCGTATTTTAAGGTGCGTCACATGCGTTATCGCTTCACAGCTTGATTGCTGTATGCGAAGCGCACAGGTTTGCAGCTAGTGCCTCGTGGATGATCTTTGCACATCTGATGGAACTACTTCGATGGCGACGAGAAAGTTCGACAGAGGGCTGCGTTCCCTCTTTATTTCACATGTTTTCTCCACCCTATTTCGAATCCGATATCGTCCCATCTTGCAGCATCCCATCACTAGATGTCGTATTCTGAAATCTGCCAGAGTTTTCCGCGTTCATATTCTCTTGACTTGTCCCTTCCTTCCTCATCCTCTGCCTCGGCCGCCGTTGCCGCAATATCAACCTCCGATGGATATGTCTTCAAGTTCGACCCGCTACAAACATCGCCGCGCGCTCTCGATGAACTCGTAAGTATGATTGACAGCCCGAAGAAGCACGCGAGGAGATGGGCGCTTGGTGCATGCTGTGGTGAGTACGTGGAGCATAGTAAAGCGGTGTCTGCTTTTCGCGCCGTCCGGGCCGCTCGCGTTAGGCGCCCCGCCAATTTGCTACACTGTCGTTCATAGTATCATGCATAGAATTTCGATTCGTTATTCACCTCGCTAACGCACCTGTTACGTTGAACATCCGACATTTCATCGCATGTTCTAGTCACAACCAAAAAATCGCCGGGGTGTATGGCTGGTTAGTGCGGGTCATCATGCAGTCCTGTACGAAACCAAAGTTCCAGGGCCCCGACAGAGGAAAGGACTTCGAAAACATCGATCATACTTACACTACCTCTCGATAAATTGACTGTCATGTATGGTCCGCTATGAGCCTCCCCCCGAAGGAGATTGCTTTCATAATATTGTTGAGATCGAGGCCTACTCCAAATGGCCTTGTCCAAAATACAAGTATATGGATGTAGGACTTGGTGCATGGATATCAGACAACGTATCTTGCTCGTCCGAGATCGAACCCTGTAAATATCACCTGAAAGATCACATAGTGGCTAACAAATTGGTAATTGTATTGCGGAAGTCTATGATGAGAGGAACGTGCGCTATCCCAACTTTTATCGTCTGCAAGTAGAATGGTGCTCTCGCGACAATTAGCATGATCGAGTTCGATGCATTGTACGAGTCTCACAGCGAGGAAACAAGATTGATGGAATAACAGAAGACGAAATGATTGTAGTACATATGCTGCTCCTGTATTAACGACCATTGGCGTACGGGGGAGACGCACAGCAGAGAAACAAAACAAAACGAGCATACAATGGGATGGGTGGTGGCTGCACGGTTGCTGCGCCAGCGCTGGTACCTTGAGCAGGTGTGGTTGTAGCAGTGGTAGGATGAGATTGTGACGACGAGCCCTGGCCATGCAACTGCCTTTGCTGCTGCGGCCGCGGTCGTGGAGCAACATACAATGCATGGACAGAAATCGTTGGACCACGACGATAGGAAATGGACGAGGAGAAAGAAATACCTTTCTGTCCTGTACTGTAGCAACTTCGACGATACGAGGACCGCGAGAGAAGATGGAGCGCCTTGGGCGTTGCCGGAGTTCGGTTTCTCTATCTACATTGGAGTGAGAGGGGTGGACGAATGACGAAAGTCGTGCGAAAAGAGCACGTGGAATGGCAGACAAGGATGGGCGAGGACTGCGAGGATTATGCGCAGGAGAGAGGGTATGGGTACCACGCGCTGTAGAGGACTGAGAGAGATCAGAAAAAGAGCTGGTCAAAAAAGGTGGACGACTCACCTGGGTGCCGTCGAAAAAGCCTGGTGGTATTGGACGGGCCTGAATAGGTGGACGTCTGGTGGCATCAGTCTAGGATTCGATCTTAAAATGGTTGGACAGGGTAAAGAAATACGTCACATACGTCCTTTAACAGCTTTTGAGTGGGGACCTGCAAAGTGAGAGATAAGTGTGGTTCGAAAGCAGGAGGCACCTGGACTCACATGAGGAATGGATAGTAGGTCCTCGTGGCCAGCGTCTTTGAGGATGGGGTGAATGTCCCATATGTATGCGTTTCCATCGCTGCTACCAGTGACCAGCACTTTTCCATCAGCGGAAAGGGCTGCGCAAATTACTTCATCTTCATGCTGGATGGGTGGACCGACTGGGAGGTTGGTGTCAAGATTCCATAGACGCACTGTGTTGTCTGATGCACTCACAAGGAGGCGGTCGTTCGGAAACAAGGTGATGATGTGAACCATGTCTGTGTGACCCTCCAGAATAGCGATCTGCTCCCAAGTGGTTGAGTCGTATATCCTAATCAAGTCAGATGATGAACTGGAGATAAGTTTCTTCCCGTCTGACGTCCAGGCCAAGCCAAATGTCACATCATGTTTGAGTGTGGCGAGCACTTTGCCCGTCTTTGCATCCCAGATTTTGACTGCGCTCTGGTTGTGTCCTCCTGTCCCAATTTGTGTGTGATCGGGCGAGTAGATCACCGTCCACACATCCTCGTGCCCGGTCTTGATTATCAAGATTGTCTTTCCAGACTTGACATCCCAGACTCTTGCTGTCCCGTCAAAGGACCCACTCAGTACTCGCTTACCATCCGCACTCCAACACACTGACGATACACGTTCAGTGTGTCCTGTCCATTTTGCAACCACCTTTCCCGTCTCAACATCCCACAACTTCACTCTCATATCTCCACTTCCGCTGACAATAGTCCTGCCGTTTGGAGACAATGCCATGCTCGACAACTTTGCTTCCTCATCCTCCTCATCTCGCCAGTCCCCGCCTACTTGTGCGCCGCTCTTCAAGTCCCATAGTCGTAGTGACCCATCGAACGAACATGTCATGATCTGTCGTCCCCCGGGCAGGTGCACAACACCTCTTACACTGTTGGTATGGCCTCGTATTGTCTGACAGGGCGTCACTGCTGGTGGTGTTTTTTGCTTCTTATTCGTTGGGACAGACATGGTCTGGGCGCGAGGGACATCTCAAGTATAGCGATGGCAAATATTTCTGGTGAATCGACCTGACTGTCTTCTTTGACTTCAGCTCTTGATAATATAAACTCACAAGTCATCGCTTACCAGATCTATACGAATACGATCCTCACTCAGAAGCCAATTTATGCAAGAGTTGCCTATCGGAGAATGCACAGAGATCTTGGAGGGCATCCAAAGTTGCTTGTGAGCAGATGTATATGTTGCAGAAGAGCCAGAATATAACTCACGAGAAGATAAGACACACAGTGCTCAAGTCACCAGCGATAAGTGGGTATTTGGGTTGGAGTCGAGGAAGTTGGGCACTGCTTAAAGCCGTATTTTAAGGTGCATCACAGGCAGTATCGCTCCACATCTTGATTGCTGTGTACAATGCGCACAGGTTTGCAGCTAGTGCCTCATGGATGATGATCTTTGCACATCTGATGGACTACTTCGATGATGATGGTGGTGATGATGATGAGAAAGTTCGACAGAAGGCTGCGTTCCCTCTCCATATCACATGTTCTCTCCAGCCTATTTCGAATTCGATCTCGTTCGATCTTACAGCATCCTGAAATATGCCAGAGCTTGCGTCCTCGAGTTCGACCCACTACAAACATTGCCGCGCGCACTCGATGAACTCGTAGGTATTACTGACAACCTAAAGAAGCACGTGAGAAGATGAGTGCTTGGTGCAGGCTGTGATGAGCGAGTGGAGTTGAGTGTAGCATAGCTAATCGGACGTCTACTTTAGGAGTCAAAATCTCTTGGAGTGTATGCAGAGGTGAAGGTTTACCGGGCTTTACCCAAGGGCCAAGAGCACCGCGTCAGATTTTCGGGATGAACAGGGCACTGAAGTTTGGAAACAGCGATATAATGAGGCCATCAAGGCAAGGGGTGTAGTATATCGAAGTCAGCATGCCAGAGGAGCACTGTACAAATAAAATTTTCTTTCGTGACTATGAGTGTCGGGCATACGATCGATAAGTTACTTGAACATGGGAACACGTGATCCCTGAGCTATCGACTCGATTCCACGACTCTCAGACTTTCTGTATCATAGTATGTGACGAGCTTCTTTATCTTTTTAACCGTTTTACAATCGACATCCTACATGGTCGAGCCAAGCCCAAGGATCACCGCCGAGTACCGCCAGGCTTTTTCGGTGGTGGCAAGACGTGTCACCTGCATTTCTTTACCAGTTCTTGTGACTATCTCAAAAGATGGGCCTGTAGACTCACTAGCTGCCAGACAAACCCTCTCATTCAAGGGCTTTGCTCGCATACATAATCAAAATCTGCTATAGCCATCGAATGCCAATCATGTCTTCTGTGACCAGCAAGGAGCAAGGGTTAATCTGGTGCAAGATGTTGTGCACCTGGGGGATTGTGCACAATACGATTCCCCCCAGAATGTGGGATGCAAAGAGCGGAGACAGCGGTGGAGATGTCTGTGTGGGTGGTGATCTATTTAGCCAACAACACACAATTTGTGATGGGCGTAAACCATGGGGGTGCAGTAAAAATCTGGAATGCAAAGATGGTCAAGCGCGATACTCCAATGCGTATGCCGCTTGCTTGATCTTACACCCTTTCACATCTTGTGTATGTATTTTCCTCTGATCATATCCTTCCTTACCCCATCCGGCCAGATCATCAGCTGCCCCTGCCGCCCGGCGTATATAGCAAGGAGACACATCACTAAGCTGCATAATCGACGACGCTTTACTATTTCCCCGTGGTTACAAGGACGGTTGCATTATATACAGTTTGCTAACCCACTGCTCGAATCATGGCCCCTGCAGCTGATGGTCGCCTCGCTATCCTCGCTGGCCTAGCGCCGCTCCCATTGCTAGGGAGCGTCTTATCTGTCGACACTCAGGAGCCTTGGTTGACTTGCACTAAATGGGGTGCTACGTATGGTACGTGAACAGATTGTATAGGGTATGTGTACCGCATATCGTTATATCAGGGGATTTGGTCTTCATGCGAATTCTAGACCAGGAAATGGTCGTGGTCGATTCTCAGCGCATTGCAGAAGCCTTGTTGGAAAAGCGTTCTCGGATTCACTCCGACCGACCATACCTAGCCACAATCGAGCTGTGCGTTCCTCCAATATTATTTTATTCAACTAGTCTGAGGTTCTTGCAGGTATGGATGGTCGATAAGCTTTGCATTCATGGGTTATGGCGATGAATGGCGTCTCTGCCGACGACTGTTCCACCAAACTTTCCGTTCCGAGTCTGCAGTGAAATTTCGCCCAATACAGATCAGGCGAGCTCATGAGATGGTCGTCAACCTAGTCGATGACCCTCAACGTTATCATGACCACTTCGCAACATCAGCAAATGATTTTTGTTTACAAATTGAACGATTATTTACTTGTTCACATATTCTCGTTATCTGTTGTGATGTCAGCTGCATATGACTACGATATCGGAGCTCGTGATGATCCTCTGGTGAAGATTGTGGTAGAGGCACTGAATCTGAGCTCGGCCCTGTTGACCCCGGAGACAGCGTTGATGCTTAAAACCTTCCCCTTCTGTGAGTTCAACTCACTTAGATGAGAAAGCGTTAACATGACAGGCACCTTCGTGGAATGTAGTACGAGTCAACAAGCTGGAAACATTGTGCCTCTGCCAAGTTCGAGTTAGGGCCGGATCGTTCAGGCCTCTTTTATAGAAATTTGATGCTCGCTGATTGATCTATGGCACCAGCATGCTGCACCACTCGTAAACAGGCTAGAGTATCAAGACATCAAGACGAGCTGGAAAATGGAGACGTACGACTGTCAAATGTTTGTCACGACCATCAAGTTAGTCTTTACGTATAGGGAGATGGTCCAGAAACTGAGGCAGCATGGTGTCAACACAGCTTAAACCGCGAAGCGAATACGGGAATAACACGCACCCTGGTGAATACTTAAACAACCGGGTACGTACCCAACTTCTTCGACTCCAGACTAAACGCATACTGTCTCAGCTTACACGTCGTACTTCTCGCTGGAAATTTGAGCAGTGCTTTTCGTGAGTAATGATCTAGGCTCCTCTGCAAGGCAACCGCTCACTCACCAGCGACTCTGAAATTCCATCAAGATCTTTTGCGTGTTCTCGAATCACTGCGCCGCAACACCCCAAACAGAATCCCAACTCAGCGGTCCTGTGAGCAGGCTGTTTTATCTGGTGAGAAACGCGACGTAGGCTCATATTAACAATACGGAAGCAATGTCGTCGACCCACCGTTAACGCGTTCGAATTTAAAGAATCAAAGATCCCGGTAGACATCTTCAGCATACATAGCCCAAGATCTGTTGTACCTGAGACCTGTTGGATGCTTCCTTACCATGTCTTCACCCACCACTGAGCAGCACTCCCAGCGAGACAATGAAAGGTAATACCAGCTGAGTACAAGGTCTGTGTGAACTTGTGTGACGGACGACACATCATTGCATATTCGTGGGATGGCTTACTGCGACTATGTGGTGCACAGTTTGGTGACGATGAGGAAGATAAGGAATCACTGAGAAGCATGACATAAGCGTTGTCAACAACAAGACTCTTGCGAGAAGAAGCGGTAATGAAACGGCGAGGTTGAGACAGTTTGCTTGCAGGATTCAGTGCTCATTCAGCAGAGCTTTATATCAACGCTGTCGCTTGTTTCCGATCAGGCTCTCTTTCTCAGTAGATCGCCGCGATACGTCACTATCAGAGATTTTTCACGCATGGCACACTACTCTCATTGAATTAACTATGCCGATCAAAATAGGAAAAATGATAACGTACTGGCTTCAACTTGAATGAGATTCTCTTGCCGAAGGTTCATTGCGTCGACTATTCGCCTAGTTAGGTGACGAGATTTAGTTGTAACTCGAAGATCAGGACAGAGAATGGGTTGCATAGGAAAACAAAGCATCATCCGTGCCCGTGCTAGTCATCGCCAAATTAGTTGATCTTATAATGTTCTTCTTGCAACGGTTGGTATTGTCGAGTTCGATGCATTGCGCGAGTCTCATGGCGAAGAAACAAGACTGATGCACGTAATTGCCAAATGATATGAAGAGACGAGTACTGAAGAACTAGAAGCAAATATGAAGTAGTCGTGTACCTGTATTAATGACCATCGGCATGTGGGGGAATTGCACAGTAGAAAAGATTACAATCACGAAATGAGTCCACCATAGAAGTGGCTGTGGCTATGCGCTTGCTGCACCTGGCGCGATAGTGTGAGTACGGTCAAGAGCAGTAGGTGTCGCGGACGTCGAGGGGGCGGCAGGATGACTCTGCGATGATGACGCTTGGGCATGGACTTGGCATTGTGGTTGGTCTTCCTGCTGTATTGGTTGTGCATTTCTATTAGCGTGCTGAGGTAATGTGCAGCAGCAGAGAAAAAGAAAGAGATGACCCAACAGTCGGATGGGTGAATACGGATGTCTTGGACGTAGTGTAGTAGAATTGGCGCCTAGGGCAGGCTGTGTCGTGGATGGCCCCTGGGGGGGCGATTGGGTTTGCTGCTGTGCTTGTTCTGGCGGCGGGGGAGCAGTGAATATAACCTGAACAGAAATCGTTAGAAAACGGCAATGGGAAATGCACGCAAAGAGATGTATACCTCTCTGTCCTTTAATGCAGCCACTTCGACGACACGAGGACCGCGAGAGAAGATGGAGCGCCTTGGGCGTTGCCGGAGTTCGGTTGGTTCCTCGGCATTGGAATGAGAGGGGTGGAAGAATGACGAAAGTTGTTCGAGGAGAGCACGTGGAATGGCAGACAAGGATGGGCGAGGACTACGAGGATTGTGCGCAGGAGAGAGGGTATGGGTACCACGTGCTGTAGAGAACTGAGAACGGTCAGAAACAGAGCTGGTGAAAGAAGGTAGAGGACTCACTTGGGTGTCGTCGAAAAAACCTGGTGGTATTCGACGGGCCTGAATAGGTGGACGTCTGGTAGCATCAGTCTGGAATTCGATCTCAAGATGATTGGACAGGGTAAAGAAATGCGTCACGTACGTCCTTTAACGACTTTTGAGTTGGGACCTGCAAGTGAGAGATTAGTGTGGTTCGAAAAGCACGAAGCACCTGGACTCACATGAGGAATGGATAGTAGGTCCTCGTGGCCAGCTTCTTTGAGGATGACGTGAATGTCCCATACATATACATTTTTGTCCAGGCAACCAGTGACTAGCACTTTTCCATCAGTGGAAAGGGCTGCGCAGTTTACTTCAGTTTCGTGCTGGAGGGGTGGGCCGACTGGGAGGTTGGTGTCGAGATTCCATAGACGCACTGTTTCGTGACTGTCGTTGGTAGATGCACTCACAAGGAGGCGGTCGTTTTGAGACAAGGTGATGGCAGTGACCAAGTCCCCGTCACCCTCCAGAATGGCTATCTGCTCCCAAGTGGCTGTGTCATATATCCCAATCCGCTCATGTCCCGTGGAGATAAGTTTCTTTCCATCCGACGTCCAGGCCAAGTAGAAGCTGAGAACTCTTGGATCGCGTTTGAGTGTGGCGAGCAGTTTGCCCGTATTTGCATCCCAGATTTGTGTAAGTTGATCTTCGTCAGCTTGATCTTCGTCCCATCCTCCTGTCACAATTTGTGTGTGATCAGGCGAGTATATCGCCGTGTACACTCCATCATTCCGGATCCCAGTCTCGATCGTCAAGATTGTTTTGGGTCTTGACATCCCAGACTCTTGCTGTCCCGTCCTTGGATCCGCTCAGCACTCGCTTACCATCCGCACCCCAATACACTGACCACACAGTTCCAGTGTGCCCTGTCCATTTTGCGACCACATTTCCCGTCTCGATATCCCACAACTTCACTTTCCCATTTCCACTTCCGCTGACAATGGTCTTGCCGTTTGGAGACAATGCCATGCTGTCCAGCCATGCATCCTCATACGCATCCCCATCCTCATCCTCATCTCGCCACTCGCCTATCTGTGCGCCGCTCTCCAAGTCCCATAGTCGTAGTGACCCATCGTATGAACATGTCATGATCCGTCGTCCCCCGGGCAGGTGCACAACACCTCTTACACTATTGGTATGGCCTCGTATCGTCTGACGAGGTGTGACTGCTCGCGTCTTTTGCTTCTTATTCGTCGGGAAAGACATGGTGGGCGCGCTGAGGGACGTCTCGAGTATAGCGGATGTAGTATGCGAGAGAGGCTCGCCAAGATCTTTGAATCAAAACGAGTTGTCTGGGGACGACAAATATTCCTGGTGAGTCAACCTGCCTATCTTCCTTAACCTCAGCTCTCGCTAATATAAACGCACAAGCCATCGCTTACCAGACACTTCTGCACTCTGAGAATCCGGTCCTCACCCAGAAGCCAATTTATGCAAGGTGTCGGAGAATGTACAGAGATGTACAGAGATCTTGGAGGATGTCCAAAGTTGCTTGTGAGCAGGTGTATATGTTGCAGAAGAGCCCAGGGTATAACTCACGAGAAGTTTAGACACACCCAGTGCTGAAATCACCAGCGATAAATGGGCATTTGAGTTGGAGTTGAGGAAGTTGTGCCCCGCCTTGTTTAAGCCGTGTTTTAAGGTGCGTTACATGCACTATCGCTCCACAGCTTAATTTCCGTGTACGATGTGCACAGATTTCCGGCAAGTGCCTCAAGGCCTCAATGATTTTTGCACGCCTGATGGACTACTTCGATGATGATGAGAAAGTTCGACAGAAGGCCGCGTTCCCTCTCCATTTCGTTTTTTCCAGCATATGGTGTCGTTCCATCTTACAGCATCCTGCTACTAGATCTCTGAGTCGTCACGGTATTCTGAAATCTGCCGGGGCTTACCTCCTCGAGTTCGACCCACTACAAACATTGCCGCGCACACTCGATGAACTCGTACGTATTACTGACAACCTAAAGAAGCACGTGTGGAGATGAGTGCTTGGTGCAGGCCGTGATGAGCGAGTGGAGTGGAATGCAGCATAGGTAAGCGGGCGTCTACGTTACACGTCGTCTAGGCCCACGTTAGGCGTCCCGCCAATTTGCTATGCCGTGTTCTTCATTAGTATTACGTATAGAATTTTGATTCATTATCCACCTCGCTAACGCACCTGTTACGTTGAACGCCCGACATTTATCGCATGTTCCGGTTATTTAATTCGCATACCGAGCGTCGATGTGAAGATGTAGCGCCAGCATTTAACCTATGCACGACATTCACCTCGAGGGAAAAATAGACGTTCTTCTGACGATGGAATGCTTGGCGACGTCTAGAAAGTGCGGTTCTAAAAGCTAAAAGACTTGATTCCCCAAAATAATTGTCTTGAAATGTGAATACTTGGTACGTACGGTATGTGCGATATACGCTATGTTATTCGTGAGTCCGTGATATAATACGTGTCTTCCAAGTCCGAGCTGCTTCAAGAGGCAGGGACTAATGTAGAGTATGCACTGTGTCGGCTGTAGCACCGACGGCAATATGATACAAGTGAGAGTGAGTGCGAAGCAAGAAGGGGGACGACAGCGACGATTAGTACAATGATATTAATAGGCGTGCGACCAGCGAATCGCAAGTTCTGGATCATGACAAGCTTCCCTTGTCATATGCATGTTGTTCGCTGCGATGAGAATGAATGGACCTCTGCATAAATCCGTCAGATCAGGGGACGTCTTCAACGCCATATGGCATGAACGCACCGAATTCTGGTCATCGGGATATGATTTTCTTGCTTCTTCAATTTCGGTACTCCTGCTGTTCTCCCCTTGTTGCGAAAAGCTCGATGACTGCTGTGTCTGATGGTACGTTAGATTGATGTCAGCTGGGTCGGTCTCAAGGCATGTGAACTCACTGCCTTTCTGTTGCGGAAAGCGAAGCGAGTCTTGGAAAGCATCGTTTTGGGAATCGTGTCGATCAGACAAGGTGTCTTCTTCGTTGAGACCGACGCCGTTTTTGACTTCCCGGGTGGTCAAGCTGAGAAAAAAAATAGGAACACGGTGTCCGATGAGCCGTGAGGTGAATGACTTACAGTCCCAAGACAATATTGGTGTAAACTATGATCTGCCATGAGCCTGTATACGAGGTGAGTGAGCGACAAAAACTCACTCCTGGGGGTCACCATCTGGATTGCTATCCAGTATGGTTTTCCTGGTGAAGCAACAAACTATACAGATGAGTCATAAAGGTATGCTTACGAAGCATCCACGTACTGTGCCAAGATACGCCAGCTGAATGATGCTGACCAACGGAAATATGATTAGGCTATAAAAACAGACGCGGGGTAAACCTACACGAGTCCCAGGCCGCGGCCAACAAACAGCACAACAAGGTTTTCAACCATCCCCTCGGGCCTAAAAACAATGCGTCAGCAGTCTCTTGTGTCTTATAATACGAAACACCGACTGGAGCATGTCCGGATAACGTGCTGGACGCAATGACCAACACATCGCAATAAAAATGATGATGTTCGCGAGTGCTGCGAAGCCTTGGCTTATGCCAGCGATGATCTGCAATTCCGGGTAAGGATCCTCTTGATTGACCAAAACACTCACTGCCATGGAGGGCAAAGCGAATGTGGACAACTGCCTTTGCTGGAAGCTGAGAAGCGAACGAGAATCAGCGACAGCATTCAAGATTGCTATTAGAATGTCCGCTTACAATTGCCCTACTGAAACTGCATTTCCGTCAATGAGAGTCAATTGGATATCATACAAACTAACTCAAGCCGAAAACTGTGATCGAAGATCACGTCAGGCAAGGTTTATACACGCAGGAAAGAATACTAACCAAAGGCGATGAAGGCACAGAAGACCTGCGGCGCGGTCAGTGGAAGTGACTGAATATGGTTGTAAAACACATACCACTAGCGTGCCGACGAATCTCGAAGTGATACTCGTAGGACCACCACAAACTATGAACAATAAGAAAATGAAACTCACAAAAAAATTGGCTCACCAGTATAAAGTCGACTAGCGAAAAATCTAAGGGGGAGTAAGAGATGTCACATGTTTTATCCTATGATTGTTGCCTTACAACTGTGCGATTAGAGTAAGAATGACCTGGAGTAATGCTGTTAGCACGCCGGAAGCCACCGTTGAGTATAGACTCACCAAAAGGAGATATTGTATCTTGATACGGCAGACAATGAGAAGCGGCTAAGGCAACCATGCGTCAAATTTACTTACGCAAAAAGTTCTAAAAGCATTGTTACAAGGGTGCATAACACGTTTGACGAACCGACACTTACGGTGTTGCATATAGGACATCCATTGTCACGTCGAACATTGTTATCAGATAGTGATATAGCCTAACCAGATGTGTTAGAGATTGGAGTAGATGGAGACAAAGCTCCTACAAGTCAGATACTATGGATCTAAGTCAGAAAGACAGAAAAACACGTTTGAAAGTGGTCGCACCTAGGCCAGTTGAAGTGGTATCCAGGACACTGGATATGTGTGAGGTGCAGTTCAAGTTTAAAGTCAGAATACATTACAATAGTGTCTCAACCTGCGAGAAAGTGGAAATGTGAGACGGGTACTCGACAGGTAGGGAGGAATACTATACCAAGATCTTTGTCCATGTATAATCATTCGAGTAACGAGAAAAATATATGTACATCTCTGCCACGACATGAGAGAAAGTTGATGAGAGCATGAAATACTCACGAAAGAACGTCAAGCCGTATAAGAAAGTGGCAAACGCAAACCCCACGAAAAGAACAACGAGATTCTGTACTTCAGCGGGAGAGGGGGAGCCTGGGTCACTCATTATGTGTAGTGAGCCGCAGATCGAGGAGAGAAATATGCATGAATGAGCGAATCATGATTTCGACGCGGCCGGTGCTTATATTGTTTCGAAGTGTAATTAATATTCGTTCCAAAGGACCGAGATAGCATAGCAGGCCAAACAGGGTTGTATTCAACGCTATGTGGAGGTATTATGTAAGCGCGGGCTACTGATACCGCTCTGGTCAAATTGAAAAAAAAAACCATTTAGCCAGTTCTCTAAGGCTCTGTCCTTCAGGTGACCGACATCGGACACTGAAAGACTGAACTCAGCGGTCAGCAGATGAGCTTGACCCGTACTTATCAGGTTGATTTACTCCTTAGATACTTCTACTCTTGTCGTTAGTTAATCCGGCGGACCGCGGTACTACTCATGGTTTATAAAAACCGGCATCACATTGTCTAACGGTCCCGGTTAGCATCTAGCCTTTTCTGAAATACTATAGCCATACTTGATTACAGTTAGGTGTACTACTAGTAATAGTATACTAGTACTACTACGAGTGGATATATACATGATGGTGATACTTATTGTGCCCTGATCGGGTATGTTGTCAAGCTTTCACTGAGAGACTCTATGAATATCCAATTACAAGTCTCGAAGGGCTCGCAACGCCACGTCCTCTCAAGACGACTCATTCACATGCATTCACCCTTGAGTGGAAAAACCATTCATCAGTACCAGTGTCGACCACCCATATACATAATCAAACGATAAAGTCATAAACGCATTCTGCCGGCAGCAAAACCGACCCGAAGTAGTTCATTGGACCTCCTGTACCTGTCAGAATCACACACCAGAGGAGGTGTATTATTTACCATGCGCTGGCTCGACTACAGCCTTGCAGGTGATCCTGAGTGATATGTATAAATTAGCCATACATAGGTACCTCTACCCAGGTGTCAGCATTGAAAAATGTATTAAGTAGCAGGGTCGCTGGTCTACTAGGGACCCGAATGACCCAGAATGAAGTCATAAGTGATACTATATAAGAAGGTTTAGCTCAAACTTTATGTCATCACGGCACATTGTAGGTAAACTCAGTTAGCTGCATCATTCACGCTATTGAGACGCGAATTGTCGGCTCCAAACTTTAACACGCCCACAACAATCCTACAAGGCCAGGGGTAACAATTCGCGCGGGTATCGAACGTGATCTCAATGACAGGGCCACAGGGGAGCAGCACACGAACAGGGCGGGCATTGCAACAACACGCAATTGATGTAAGTTTAGCATTTACACCACTGGTAGGTGTAGTAGTAGGCACTCGTAAGCCGACGCGCGCACGACGTGACAGTTTGCCCTGGATCTCCAGTAGGGGCCGAACAGGGTAGAGCTGCCCCTCTATTTGACCCTCCCCCGAGGGCCGAGTCTACCGAGCTTGATTCAGATATCGTTGATCATACAAAAAATGGTGGATTGGCCAACACACACAAGTTAATTTCCGTTGATTTTCGTAGGTCCAGACCCATCGAGATTTATTACAACAATAGGATGCAATATTTATAATTGTTGATTCAGTTAGTGATCTGCCTGCCAAAAGGCAGAAACCCAGCCCCGCGGATTGATGAAAGAATATGGCACGGTTACCGTTGCAAAGCTCTGATTACTTGTGGACAACTCACAAGTCGTGCAGATCTCCACTAGTAGCTTGATCTCAAACTGGCTACCGCGCGGGGACATTATCAAGCTAATTCCTGCAGACGTATTTTTATTGTCACTCGGACTAGAACCTTTCATTCGCTAAACTTCGTAGACGAGCTCAGTGACATTTGATTAGTGATTTGATCGCGTAGGATAACAGCACGATCAAGTATCTACGACTATGGCCATAGAACGTACTTCTTTGAAAAGATATTTATATATTATTGTTTTAGGCGCCTGCAGTTATAATTAGCGCCAGATTCATGAAACTCCGTCACTTAGTACTACGTGGACAAGTGGACTGCAACTGCCAAAGGATAATTTGATATTATTAGGTCCGCTCAAACCCAGGTTCATTTACAAGGTTAATGATCGCCCGTGCAAGCTCTGCGTCTTCCAAGTCTACTCGTCTTTTGTCACATTCCAAACTCCCGCAACTACGCAACGCAGAATCCTCGCACTTTTGGCAACTTGCACATAATCCCGGTGGATATACTGGGTCGGTCACGCGCACCACATATATTCAGATCGATAGCCCCAATCTAGCACTTAAGTACCCCACACGGATACAATCTCTCCGACAGAGCCACCTACGAACTCAATATTCACGATTACAGACATCAAGACCGTTCTCCACCAGCCCACACACAAAATCCAGCTTCGCGTTTTCGCTATTAGAAAGTGATCCTATCATGGCTTCGTTGACTCCGCCACAAGCTCCTCCTAGATGGAATCACACCCCGGAAGAAGTGCTGAGAATCACCAAGCAGGCACTTGCGCAGAATAAGGCGGTCAGTGATAGAGTCGGTGCTCTTCCGGAGGCTGAGTGCAATTTCGAAACTGTACGTGGCCTGTCTTGTGCGGCATCGCCGGACTGATCGTCTCTTATTCGACTCGCAGGTCTTTGTGAGTGATGTATCCGATCGGTTGTTATTGCATTCTCAGACAATCATTAGCTACCGCTTGCTAATGCAGAGGCAGAAGCCCTCATCATTTGCGAGCCTCTCGGATTTTACCAGAATGTCTCCCTCTCCAAAGAACTCCGAGATGCTTCGAACGACGCGGAAGCTCTTCAGCGGGATTTCGATGTCGAGGAGTCCATGCGTCTTGATGTATTCAAAGCCAAGGCCGCTGCAGAGAACAATCTGCGCAAATCAGGTGAATGGGAGAAGCTGAGCGATGAACAACGTAGGCTCGTGGAGAAGATGGTGTTGGATGGCAAGAGAGCTGGTCTTGCACTTCCTGAGAAGGAGCGCGAGGTGTTGATGAAGTTGAAGAAGGAGCTCTCGCAAGCTTGCTTGGATTTCAGTGTAGGGATTATTTCTTCTTTGTTCAGGCGTTATGCTAATGGGGTTTGTAGAAAAACTTCAATGAAGAGGATGTGAGATCACTCGTTTGCTTTGATTCGAGACAATGACCACTCAAATATACATAGGGCAACATTTCGTTCACGCTCGAAGAGTTGGATGGAGTCCCGAGCGATGTCATCTCGGGTTACACCAAGCGCACTGAGGGCTTGAAGGAAGTCTATGACGTCACCTTCAAGACACCAGATATCTCCCCAATCGTATGTAACATCATGAAGTGCCTCTGTTGATTTACCTGAGTAATATTTCAGTTCAAATTCGCGCATAATCCCACCACGCGACGCGATGCTCAAGAAGGATTTGAAGACCGACTCAAACAAAATGTGCCTTTGCTTGAGAAGGCGCTTGACCTCCGTCGGCGCATCGCCGCGATGCTTGGCTATGACACATGGGCAGACTACGTCACAGAAGTGAAGATGGTCAAGTCTGGTAAAAACGCTGCGAACGTGAGTGATGAACAAATTCTTGATTACAAACCAACATATATGCACCCTAGTTCCTGGATGACCTCGAGGCGAAGCTCCGTCCTGTCGGAGAGAAAGAGCGTGATATTCTTCTTCAGCTAAAGAAAGAAGAACACGAGAAGCGTGGACTTCCATTTGATGGCGAGTTCTACATCTGGGACTACAGGTCAATCACCGCATTCATCAATGCTATAGGATCTCGCTCATCGGTATCATGACAGGTACTATGACCGCCTCTATATCGAGAAGACACTCGATCTCGACGAATCTCTTGTGAAGGAATATTTCCCGGTCGCCGTGGTTGTTCCCACGATCTTGAAGATATATCAGGACCTGCTTGGAGTCAAGTTCATTGAGATCAAGGACGACAACGTCTGGCATCCAGGTGCGTGGCACCTGCCGTACTGGACAAATTTCAGTTGTCTAAATCCTTGTTGTAGAAGTGCAACAGTTCGCTGTGTGGGATAAGGACGCCAAAGATGAATCTGCATTTGTAGGATATTGCTACCTGGATCTGTTTCCCCGCGGTAAGGGCGCGAAGTCTCATTTGAATTTGAATTTTCATTTAATCTTGTTCTATTTTCCAGCTGCAAAGTACTCTCACGCAGCTGTATGGGGCCTTCTCCCGGGCTACGAGCTACCATCGGGCAAACATCACTACCCGTTGACGGCAATGGTAGCGAACCTTGCAAAGCCAACTCCTGACCGGCCCGCTCTAATGCGACACGACGACGTGACAACATTTTTCCATGAGATGGGCCATGTCTTCCATGGATTACTGAGTCGGACGAGGTACGCGCGATTTCATGGTACATCCGTGGCAAGAGACTTTGTTGAGGCGCCGTCGCAAATGCTCGAAAATTGGTACGTGTTTTGGACAATCCCGAAAGAATGTACTATTGGAAAAGTGCTTACGGCATAGAGCAGGTGCTGGGAGCCTAAAGTGCTCGAGAAAATGTCTAGCCACTACGAGACACAGGAGCCGCTGTCGCCGGAATTGATAGATAAGCTGATAAGGAGGTGTGTTTCATCTTGAAGTTTTCGAGAATGAAAGTATGGATGACTGTCACAGTCGATACGTAAACGTCGGGTTGTTTTACCTTCGGCAGCTATTCTTTGCCAAGTTTGATCTCAAAGTGCACGTGGATAAAGGTTGGGCGCATGTGTTATTATTATTTTGGATTGCAGGGCTTACGCGTATTGTACAGAGGCGGCAGATTATACCAAACTCTGGAATGACCTGCGTGAATCGATCTCGCTCGTGAAAGGAGGTAAAGCCCAGCCAGGCCAAGGCACTTTTGGACATATCGTCGGAGGCTATGATGCAGGTTACTACGGGTGAGTCATGCGATCGTCCTATTCTGATGGGCCACCGACTAAAACTGACACCTTGGCGGGCGAACGTGATCACCAGGTACACGTATTCTCTTGTGTTTGCCGCGGACATGTATGCGACGGTTTTTAAGAAGGATCCGTTGAACCCTGCTTTGGGCAAGCTCTACAGGGACAAGATCCTCCTGGTGGGAGGTAGTCGGGACGAAACGGATTCCCTTGAGGTATGTCGCATCTTCGTAATCCAAGGATAGACGCTCACGTGATGGATCAGGATTTCCTGGGTCGATCGCCGAACTCAGATGCATTCTTGGAGGAAATTTTTGGGAAGGTTGCCAACGCAAGCCTGTGAGGAACGTGTCAAAGCAGTGAGGTCCCCGCAACGGATACATTACGTAGTTATGTCATCCCAGAGAGGTCCTCGCAACGTATACAATAGGTAGTCGTGTCATGGTATGGAAGACCCAAGAGATGTAAGAATCGGGAAGACCACGTGCGTAGGGTTTACCGATTTAGGAATCCCCTTTGCACTGCCCACCGAGTGATAGCGAACAATAACCATACCAGCGACCAACGCGGAATATCTAACAGCAGGCATTCCATAAACTCGAGGTTAAAGCATATTTGTGGGTCTAACTTGTCTAGGCGGGACTAGAGCAGAAACAAGGATGAACGGGGGAAAAGAAGCAAAGGTGAGTAATGGGCTGTCCGCCAAGAAGCTGAAACACTCTTGTGTACATTTCACCCTGACGAACCTCTCGCCTTTTCTAGCCATCAGTCTCGAACGACGTAGCCACCAATTTCAGAAAACTCCTTGCAGCTCAGGTAAGCGGCGCTACCCCTTGTTTGATTCGAACCACTTCGATTGTTGGCTTTCCTGTCTTGGTCATCACGATGTCTGCTACTGCTGAGCCTGGCGTTCGTTCAAAACGCCGTAGCTGGCTAGCATGGTACGGTCCGCAGAAGGACGCTGCCAAGGAAGTGCCCAGACCAACGCTTCATTTGGACATAGGGTTGGCGTCCCCACGAGAGGCATGTGAGCAGGGCGAGCAGACCTTCCATCCTGTAGACCCAGGTGCGGGTGTCTCGTGCTGCGAGACGAGCTTAAAGACCTCGCAGCCCAGTACACCGAGACGCAACTCCGTTTCTTCTTTATCTCACTTACTTCCCTTTCATCATTCATCTCCTCACTCCTCTGTTTCTCATATACAGCAATATGAACAAACTTCGCCACAGAACGCCGCATCATCGTCTTCTGCTACATCGCCTTCCTTGGCATCTGCTATGAAAACACCTGAACTGACGTCTCGCACTCCTGGATCGTTTGGGAAGATATCTTTCAACTCTATGATGGGGGGTCTTTCCGCGCTTTCTTTGTCTCGCACGGCGACGAATGACGACAAAGATAAGGAGATTCGCGGACGCGCCCCAAGCAAACGGAAGCCTCGCTCCTCGTCTTTTGTACTCCCGTCTTATACCAAAGACAAAGACAAGGACACAGCATCCGTAGCTTCCAAGGAGTCCATTCGTGCTCGTTCGTCATCTCCCTTCAGTCTACGCCGTTTCCGTCCTCGCGATCGCGATGCATCTCCCGCTCCTCTTCCTCTCGAAGAATCAGACTGTGACTCTGTCACTTCACGACGCACACTTGCCGTCCGACCTCGCAATGCTTTCACAGAGGATCTGGATTCAGGTTCAGAGTACGCTGGAGAAGAGACGGAAGATGAAGAAGACTATTGGAGCGATGATGCCCCGGGCATGTTTGATATCGTCACCGAGAGGAACACGGAGCAGAATGCGCTTATTGCTGCTCATGAGATGCCAATGGGAGACCTGGATCCTGACGACGTCACTATGGACCCTGACCCATTGGGTGAAGGTGTCAATGTCGTAGTGCCACCCGAACCCTATTTCCCTTCTACTCTAAATCGGTCGAGCTTGTCCTCGATGAAAGGCAAGCGTGGGGGTCCGAAGCGAAAGAAGTCCCGGCATCATGAAACTCTTCCTTTGAGGACAGCTCGCCCGCTATTCCAACGTGATAGGTGCACGATCACCATGACTCAAGGCGATCCAGAGGCATCAGAAAGGCGGAGGCGGATGTACATTATCGCTAGTGACCTCAGCGAGGAGAGTCGTTATGCTGTTGAATGGGGTATCGGCACAGTGATTCGAGACGGCGATCATTTGTAAGTGCTTTCGCCCTTGTCACGGTGCACTGTCAAATTTATGGTACAGGCTCATCGTTACGGTTGTCGAAAACGAGGCTAAAGGTAATGACATCTTGACATGTACTCGTATTTTGTATTGATTTACATGCTGCAGTTGACCCACCGATCCCCAACCCAGCGGATCGCTCCACTAGACTTCGTTCTCAACAGGAAGTAAGACAGTCCTTATATTAATTTCATTGCAAACTCATGTCGGCACATAGCGTCAAGGCCTTGCCTATATCCTCGTCCGTCAAGCAACGGCGCTCTTACAACGTACGCACTTGAACGTGACCGTCTCCTGCCAAGCGTGGCACTCGAAGAACTCGCGCCACATGCTCCTCGATATTGTTGATTATAACGAACCCACGATGCTGATTGTGGGATCCCGAGGTTTGGGTCAGATCAAGGGGTAAGTGCGCACGATGGTTTCATCAAGCCACTAAATCAACGCGTGACCCTCTCCATAGTATTCTCTTGGGCTCAACGTCACACTATCTCATTCAGGTTAGTCTTATCACTCCATTACGATTTTATCATTCTGACATTCCATCTGATCATCAGCGATGCTCCGTTCCGGTTATGGTTGCCCGTCGCCGGCTCAAGCGCCCGCCGAAGCGCTCTGCTCACCTTGCCAAGAACCGCATGCACGTCTCCCTTGCAGAGGCCGGGATCGACAGAGTCGCCCCTAAGGTTGACCAGGATGTCGCGGTCATGCGGGACGAGATGCAGCGTGATGACGATCGGCGAGGTAAGGAGGGGGAGAGAGTTATCGACGAGGATGGGGAGGAGCCTGGGGAGGAGGGCGAAGGAGACGGCGCGGAGGGTGAAGGGTACTTGGGCACTAAGGTTGGGGGATCATGAAATGCGAGTTTAAAGCTCGTCGATTCCTTTGGGTCTGACATTAAATTTCTTTCTTTTCTTTTGTACTTCAGGTGCACTCAGCCATAAGTGGTTGTTGATGCGATGTTGATACCTGAGGCCTGAATGGTGAGATGGGTACCACAGCTTGGTCATGTATGATAGCCATAGACGAATATTTTTACAAGGTTGTTACATCGGAGCATTACAAATTAATTATAAGTAGCTGCATTTTGTCCGCACGATCACACGGTGCCATGTGAATGTAGTGGCGAGTTCATACTTAACTGTGTGTCCAAAGCTCGCATCCAAAGGCAGGAGACAACATCAACACACCGTCCCAAGGAACCAACATCTCAGTACGACGGGATGGCAATTACCATCGATTCATCCTTGAACTTGAAGTGACATCGGATTCACCATAATTAATAAGTATGCAACAAACTACAGACAAGTTGTTGATTGTTGCTAAGTACCTTGCTATGAAAACAAAAACATAATAACCAAAGCAGAAGGAGTCGTTCGTGACCAATACATCGATGTCGTGATATTATACCTTCTGTGACGTTGCAGCCACTGGGGGCTCGATCGGTTCCACGCCCGCGATTTGCATCCTGTCAGAGGTCAACACCAACGACAGGTCCATCAGTCATCATGGACACTCACAAAACCTCGTCCTCGATATCCGTGTGGTCAGTGACACGAAGGTACACCATCGGTGCGGCGCAGATCATCCCAGCGACTGTGAGACACCACGTCGACAGGAAAATGTTCATGTATCTAAAATTACCAATCCAGCGGTTTGTTCGCAAAATGGAGGGATAGTGGACTTACGCGACACTAGCACCATCGGCAGCCCAGACGCTTGCTGCACCTACTGATTGCAGGGACTTGTCTGTGTGGGTTCTTGATCAGTATCGAACTCGTACTTCCGATTCAAGGTCAATACGCACAGAAGCCAGCGAATACGGCCAGCTTGGCAGGGTCGTTCGACATTGCGCCCATTAGCCAGTATGCATATGTTTGCCACATCGAATCCAGGAGGCCATAAAAGATCATGAGCCAGACATGGGAAGGGTAGTTTGAATCCAAGATATCGATTTTATAAGCACCTGTAGCAGTCTCCTCGATCCGGGTATATGTCCTAAGGATCGCATTGATGCCAATTCGGACGTGCAGTGCGATAAGATGACTTACTTTTGGTAAAAGTATGCCCAGACGTGGACAACGAATATCATGAAGAACACGAGGATCCAGCCGTAGAAGGCACGGACTCTGCGCCGGAGCCTCTTCTGGTCAAGGACAAAGTAACCAATGAAGATGGATCCGAAGATCTGTGATGTCCAGTACACAAAGTTGTTCAGACCCCGAGCGCGGATGTTGAATATTGCGCCATTGTAATCATTGAATTCTGTATAACTTATCAGCAACGAGACTGGTTCTAAGAAGAAATATACGAACGCCAGGTATAGAAGTAATTGCTGGCAGCAAACATCGGAAAGAGGAGTATAACCCAAGGGTCAGTCTTCAGGGCTACGAACAGGCTGAAGAACTCCGTCTTCCAGGATGGGTGGCGGACCGTGTTCACGCGAGTTCCGTCCGTGCGGATCATTTTGTTTGGGTCCACCATGAACAGCGGGATAAACACGCCAATGAGAGTCAGGATCAAGAAGCCGACCTAATGAATCATCAATTTCTGTTGGCAATAGCGGATCTAATGACTTGCATATGTTCCATTGCCAACTGTACACAACAAAACTGGTCAGTTCCGCGCTGAGATAACAATATCGTATCCCTTACCGCTGTTGCTCTGACAGTGGAGAATATGAGCGTCCACACATTCGCAAATGTAATACTTCACTCACCGTACTCTTGAAATTGCTTCCAAACGAGATAGCAGACCCGACAACCCCTCCAAGGTTGAAGATAGCCCAAAAGATACTGATGAACATACCCTTCTGAGCCTCAGTGGGGTATGACATCATCAACGAGCCCTGGGCGGTCCAAAGAAAAGCCGCACAGGCGCCAAGGATGGCACCGGCTGTGACAACAAAAGAACCCGCACCAGCATGAATGTTGACAGCACTGAAGGGCGATGTTTAGTAATTATGGATCAAATAACAAGACATCTTACAGGAAGGCAGCAATATACAACGAGTAGCCCCAGGTGCCAAGCATTAGTGTCACTCGGGGACCAAGCACATTGTTAACGGAACTGCAACAATAATAGTCAGTATAGGTAAAATTGACAGTGGCGACCCTGACTTACCCGGCAAAGAAGCCAAAAAAAGCAAAAGTTGAGTACAAGGTAGCGCTAGCTCTGGCCTGGTCCGTAGAGTTGACTTGGCCTCCACCTCCGAGACCAGTAAGCGCGTTGAACATGCCGGGGCACATGAAACACACGAATCCCAACAGCGAAACCTGCGTGACGGGGTGTTCGTAGTATCCCCTCCATCCAGACGGACGCTCAAAAATTTCTGCGCGCTGAGAACCAGAGTCCTCGCTGCTGCCACTGCCAAGTTTTTCGACTTCGGTTTGCGCGTCAGACATGATAGCTAGAGGATGTAGCCGGCAACAAGATCACAAAGTTCAGTGAGTCGGTGATTCTTATAACGTAGCGTTATCAAGCGCTCATGTGGTATGAAGGACCCATGCGACACGCGGCGTATTGAGACCCGTGGCAAAGGCAATTGGAAGGAACGGCTCGCGCTAAAATAAGCAATGCCGGCGAGGGAAAGCGAAGCAATAAAGGGAACTGCACCACACTTGCTGGACCCCGCATTCGCCGAAGCGGACAGCCATGCGCAGTCTACAGGTAATGAAGCAACTGTAAACTGTATGCATGAGCAGACGCGAAATGAATCGACGATTTCATTGTAATGATAGGTCGCGGCATCGCGAAAAGAGGTGAGGCGCACTGAGACCTACTTTTTACATAATGCCGCCTACTACCCCAAAGGGGCACCGGCCGGTCCGAAAATGGTAGCCCAATGCCGATATCAGAGATGAGGTACCGGCGCATCTAATAGCAATACCACTAGTAGACCAGTTTTGACATGAATGCAGAACATGTACAAGTCTCTCATGCATGTCATTCCGAATGCGATCCCTTACCTTCCCGTGCTTTTTCTCAGCACATGGTGCATGAATGCACTGTCGAAACTGGAGATTTCGGAGATTGGTAATGAGTCTTGTGACTACATGGCATGCACACTCCTAAAACAGTAACCCAAGCACAGCAGACCCAGGAGACTCACTAGTATCTGTACAGTTGGATATCGGATACTTCTGATAATCAATTTGCAATCACCAAGCCACCCCATACATATAGCAACCATGAACAATCTCGAAGGCATTGTACATGTTCGTATGTGCGCACTAAATCTACAATTCTTGCTCCAACATCACTTTGTCATTTTTTTTCATGAGCGGGCTCAAAAATTTTCTCGACATTGGATTGATTCAAGGTGGAGAATAAGAAAATATGATTAGCAACGAGGCAAGGTAACATAGAAACTGACAATGCCTCATCGTCAATTTCCGTGTGATTCTTTACGCAAAGGGAAGGCGAACATCATGCCAGCAGTAACTAAGACTCAAGTAGAAATGAAAATATTCATATATCTGTTAAAGAAACAATGTTTACATCCTTGTCGTAAAGAATACGGCTTATGGTCGTCACAGAATATCGAGCCGAACGATAGCAGATCTGGAAGACTGGAAGCAATTGTCTGAGAAAGTAGAAGGTCATCAGAATAGGAGCTATTACGTGGCTTTGATGTGAAAACTTACAGAAGCCAGCGAACACGGCAAATCTTTGCGGGGTCATTAGATATAGCACATCAGCCAGTAGTTGTTTGCCATATGGAGTCGAGGAAACTATAGAACCATCATGAGCCATACATGTGCGGGGTAATCGGGGTCATTGATATCTATCTTGACAACAGTAGGAGGTTCTGAGGAGTTCTGACGCGCAAGTATAGGTCTTTTGAAATTGACTGTCAGGGTCTGACAAGAGGTAGATAGCGACTTACTTTCGGTAAAAGTATGCTCAGGTAAACAAAGACGACTACAATAGACCAGCAGAGGAACGCACGGGACCATTTCAAAGTGATAGATGCATCGATGAAGAATGAGCCAAAGACCTGAGCAGTCCAATACACCCGGTTGTTCGAGCTACGGGTGCGGATGATGATCAAGGTACCGTTACAGTCATTGAATTCTTTAAAAAAAGCGCACCAGCGTCCTGCAGCGTTATTCCGTGTGATGTTTGACTGACGCTAAGTATAGCATTAGTTGCTTGCGAAAAACATAGCATAGGAAACAGGGTGACAGATGTCCAGGGGTACGTCTTCAGGACCACAAGAAGATTAATAAACTCATCTGTCAGTGCGGATCATCTTGTATGGATCTACAAGGATAATGAGCAAAAACACACCAATGAGGGTGAGGATGTGGCATCCGATCTGTGTAAGTACGATCAAATCAATTATAAGAACTTGATCAGCCTGATTTCTTTCCGTTTATATATATCGTAGCAGTTTGTATAGAAAAGATGATACCATCGAGTAAAAGTTTGTCCCGAAGGCCACCACGGAGCCGACGACAGCTTCCAGGTTAAAGATTCCCCTGGAATAACCGATGAACGTCTACTTCTGAGTTTCTGAGGGGTATGCCATGGTCAAGGATCCTTCCGCTGTTCATTTCAAGAACGCACAGGCACCTGACTCCTGAGATAGCTCCGGCAACGACGAAAAGTCACCTGCACCACATGGTGGATGTTCATTGCCCTATTCGATCGGATCAGTAAAGATTGAAAGATGGAAGATAAAAGAAACGTGCATAGATGACGCAGTGGACTGAGGATTCCGAGAACTAGGCAGAGTCTAGATCCAAGCACGTCATGCACCGAGCTTACGGGGTATATTAAAACCGAGCGGTGCGCACGACTGACCTAGCAAAAACTAGAGTAAGCGGCAATTGCGTTTGCGTTGTTAGTTGCATCAACTTGACCACCAGCGCCGAGACCGCTCAAGGCGTTGAATATGCCCGGGCGCATGCAACAAACAAAGCCCATTAGACAGACCCGTGTGATTGGGTGATAGTCTACACGTCTCCATCCCTTGGGACGCTCGAAGACCTCGGCTTGTTGAGCAGCCGAAGTGTCAGATCCGCTCCTGCTTGCATTTTCTTCTTCACTGGTTGACATGGCGGAAGGAAGAAGCGTGCCTTGCAAGCTTGAATTTCAAGAGCGTTTATAGATTCCTACTGCATCAAGAGAATTTGGGCGTGCCAGCCTGATGGCTGCGTAAACCTAAGAGAGATAACTACTACATCCGAGTTTCAAACACTGCAAATACCGGCAGACTCCGCGCCCCTGCGACCTCCTCCCTAGAGTTCCCCCACTGCATTGTGAATAGGTGTGCTATGTATGTTCCGTGTAAAAATTTGAAACGAGTACTGATTAAAGCAGAGTAAAGGGAGCTTAAGTGCTCACACGTCCATGGAGAGTCCAAGGTCGATACCCGACGGCGCCCGCCTGCAAGTTCCCATCACCAAGCTTTAAATTATTCCGTATTATAATTCGACTGAACATTGAACCGAGACCACCAATAGGTCGTCAGTCCAAACAGAAACCCAGATGTGACCAGTATGCAAAGACATTGTCCAGTGTCCACTACTGGCAGTGCCTGAGAATTGGTTTGTCCCATCAATACGTACAACGTAAGTATGATTCCTCCTGATAGCGAGACAGCTACAGACACTTGAAGATACAAAAACAACAAAATTCACATTACAGGTTCGTGTGTCATAAATACACCCTCTCTTGTTGCACGAACACATGCCGCTTTACCTCCTCTCAGAGACTTCAGGAAGTCTCTCGACGTTTGGGCGGGCCAATCTGGGGATACCATAAGTACGTAAGGTAGCAAAGCAACAAATTAACTCACAGAGCCTCATCGTCCATCTCCGTGTAATCTTTTACGCGAACGTAGACCAAGGGGAGGGCACATATCATGCCGGCAGCCGCTAAGACCCAAGTTGAAATGAAAATGTCCATATACCTATGAAGGAAAAATCCAATGTCTACAACCTTCCTGAAAACAACAAAGCTTACGGTTTTTGCACAGCATCGAGGCGCCAGACAACAGCGGATCCAGCAGACTGGAAGCACTTGTCTTGGGAAAATTAGAACTGCTGGCTGTTGCGTGACTTCAATGTGAAATAAACTTACAAAAGCCGGTGAACACAGCGAGCTTTGCGGGGTCATTGGACATAGCGCCCATCAGCCAGTAGGCAGTTGTCTGCCACATAGAGTCGAGGAGACCATAGAAAATCATGAGCCATACATGTGCAGGGTAACCTGGATCGTGGATATCCATCTTGACGGCTGTAGGAGGGTCGGATGCGCGAGTATAAGTCCTGTGGAGTTAAGGGTCATGTTTGGACAAAAAGCGGGCCGTGACTTACGACTTACAATTGGTAATAGTATGACCATAGATGAACGGCAAAAACGAGGACCACTACAATCGACCAGCCCATGAATGCACGAACACGTCTACGGAACCGCCTCAAATCCAGAACAAAGTGACCAATGAAGAATGAGCCAAAGATCTGAGCGGTCCAATAAACCAAGTTATTCAGGCTGCGAGTGCGAATGTTGAACAGGGCGCCATTATAATCATTGAATTCTGAAAAATATGTCAACTTCCTGCAGTGTCATTTCCCTGTGATGTTTGACTCACGCCAGGTGTAGAAGTAGTTACTGGCAAAGAACATAGGAAACAAGAGGACAATCCAAGGGTCTGTTATCAGTGCCACAAATAAACTGACAAACTCAGTTTTCCAAGAAGGGTAACGGATGGGCGCGACTCTGGTTCCATCAGTGCGTATCATCTTGTATGGGTCTGCAAGGAAGAGGGGCAAGACAACGCCAGTAAGCGAGAGGACCAGAAATACGATCTTCAGCAATATGATCAAAACAACCATAAGATTTTCACCACGATAACAAAAGAGCTCACATAGGTTCCATTCCCAAGTTTGTTCGCCTGGTTTATGTGGTTGAACATCGTACAGCTTATATAGCAAGGATAATTTACCGTGGAGTTATAATTCGACCCGAAGGCCACCGAGGAGCCGACGACACTTCCTAGGTTAAAGATAGCCCAGAAGTAACTAATGAACGTCCCCTTCTGAGCCTCAGTCGGGTATGCCATCATCAAGGATCCTTCCGCCGTCCATATCAAGGCCGCACAGGCGCCTAAGATGGCTCCAGAGACGACAATAAAGTCACCTGCACCGGGATGTATATTCGTTGCACTATTGGATCTTGTGTGAGGACTGAAGACAAAGGTCGAAGAAAAACGTACAGGTATGACGCAATGTACAGGGAATACCCCCACGTGCCGAGCAATAGGCAGAGTCTAGGTCCAAGCACGTTGTGCACAGAACTGGACAAATCAGATAATCGCAAATACCGAGCACTGCGCACGACTGACCCAGAAAAAAAAGCGAAGAATGCAAAGGTAGCATAGAGAGCAGAATTCGCGTTTGCGCTGGTAGTCGCATCCAATTGACCAGCAGCGCCAAGACCATTGACGGCGTTAAACATTCCTGGGCACATAAAGCACACGAAGCCTACCAAGCAGACTTGTGTGGCTGGGTGGTAGTAGAGACCTCTCCATCCTCTTGGACGCTCGTAGATCTCGGCTTGTTCAATTGATGAGGTTTCAGATCCACTCCCATGGACCTTTTCTTCTCCAGTGGCCGACATAGCAGAAGGAAGGAGGCGAGACGCGCGGCGTGTGATTACGAGCAACCGTGTTTTTAATTATATGGGCGTAATGCCAATCGAGGCGCACAGGAGTTCCGAGTCTATGTAACTATGTTCTGCGGGAATACGGAGGCTCGACGACCTAACTTGATTGTGCCGTTATGAAGTTGAGTTAGGGATGCATTATGGCTCAGATACGACAGGTGACCTACTTCAGTTAGTATCGACTGGAGGTCTTCGCCGGTCTCCGCTTGATTCAGGAAGTCGATAAGAGAAGTGTCTGATGAACTTGAATATGCCCTTGGGAAGATGCCACATCAACCCGAGTCCGAATAGAGGAATTTAGGTTATGGGTGTTATCGATACTACCAGTACGTTATCTGCAAACTTAGAACTTAGTAACGTCGAGCGCTTCGACGATAATATGTCGCAGGAGGGAAATTACCATGTTGTGTACCCAATCATGCAATCTCCCGGGCACCCGCAGGCAATATATTGCAGACTCCGTTGCCATCGCCCACCACTGCGTTCCAGGTTTGAAGTTGAAATACCCAGAAATGAAGGGCAACCAGAGTTTGAGCTGTTGGAACAAGCAGAGCCATGTATAGCCTCGAGCCTCGAGGACACGTTCGATTTGGAAGATCAATGGCATCGGAGATTGGATAATGTTCGTTTGCGGAAAGAGCCTGGAAAGATCCGGCCGGCGAACCAAGCGAAACTGGGCCTGGCTCAGACTTGCTCGCATCCACTAAAATTTCCAATGTGTTCTCAGACTCGTAGGGGTCTCCTCGCTGAGCATGAGATCAAGGGCGATATGCGTCGTGCCGCATCGATGAATCGCGATATTTCTCCAATGGCCCGGGTGCCCTGTTCGATTTTTTCTTTCACCTAACTTCACTCTTCTTCAGTGCGTCTAAACTTCCTAGTCGTTCCTATGGCATCAAGCTCTGAAGATCGCATCAGATTCAATCCATCCGAATGATCATTATCCCACACACAAAATCCGGACTCGATATATATACCCTGACCATGTTCTTCTCGACGTTGGAATACTGTCTGTGCAGATACCCTCCATACAGCGAATTCTTGAGCTTGAGTTTTCATCTCCATCCGATGGTAACTTTCAACCTTCAAGCTTGCAAGTTAGGACTGCGTGGGCTTCTTTTGACATACCGATCCATAATACGGCCGGTGTGTGACTGCATGATGCTAGTCTCTGTGGCCTTTCATCAAAGTTCGTTTCTTTGTATTCAAGTTTAATGAGCGCTGTCACTGCGTAGTGCCTGATTACTAGGCTTACTATGGTCGAAGCTCGATCGCCAAAGTTGCGGTCAGGGTGCTCCGCTGTCAGGGCATGCTGGATGCATTTCATTCCTATAGTCACCTGGATCATGCAAATGCACTTCGGTTCAGGTTTCCGACGTATAGCTGTGTCTTTGACAAGATTTCTGAGCAGTTACCAATGACTTGGTCCTTATTGGACTTAGTTTCATTCACCATGCCTGAGTTACATCTACATCAAATGATTATCAAGTGGCGGCGATCAAACATCAACCGCGTCAGTAGGGGAGGAATCGTCCCTGAAGTGATGGGCCTAGCCCAAGCAGGACATTAGTCTATCTCCCATTTTCAGAAGTACTTACGAACGAGGCGCTGTTGTTACACGAGATATGTACCTGAGGATGATATGGTTGTTGCTGGCAGTCATTCAATTGGGCACGTCGTAGGCATGAAATATGAAATGCAGATAGTAACGCAGTGCAGCATATTCTGCCACACGGTCACCGAAACGTCGCAGGACCCTCGACACAGCAACTAGACATGCAGGGTGACTGAAGTCTATTTCTGTTCATCGCAACTGCTAACCTGTTATACACTAGAAATACATACTTGATCGATCACTCCTCTAGTGTTCCAATCGGACCACCGATGGAGAAAACTGTCCTCCATTCTTTCAAAACTCAGCAGATCGCCAACCCTGCACGAGGTCTGAATGAATATGAGATCGTGCCGAGATATTGCAAGGAAAGATTGCAGGACAGCTGAACCAACAAACTATCAGTAACGATACGATAGAATGACACGAGTGAGGTCAAGTACCGACACACTCCTGGGATGAAAATGGGAATAAAACTGATCACTTTTCCCTGGTCATCTTTGGCAGAAGATATATCCAATGTGGCCAACATAGTCACAATGGCAGACCACACAGAAGCAATAGCGGTATACCGCCCTGAAGTCTATCTGTCAGAGAATCTTTGATAAGATTAAAATAACTTGACGAACCTGGACATATACGCCGACCAAAGCCGAAGACGTATTGTGCGGGGTCATCAGCTGTCAATGCACCATTAATGTCGATGAACCTCTCTGGTATAAAATGAGATGCGTTTGGGTACCGCTTTTCATCTCGTGTAATGCCCCTACAATCAAGTCAGTGATACGAAAGCTGGGAGCAACATAGCAGACCATGTGTTGTATGTGATGATTGTGCCTGTTGTATGATATTATAAATGATCAATGTGTTGATCCGGGACAAAAACAACGCACCTTTTGGGATGAAATAGCCATTGTATACGTCATCATCCAAGGCAGTATGTGGTATACCTATGAGATCATCTTCAACACAGGTAAGATCACTTGGCGGAGAAGAATACCAAGTGGTACAACAGGATGCCATCGGAAAGTCTCTCGCACAACTGCATCGATGTAGGGTAGTGATGCTCTGTCTTCGAACGTTGGCAGCCGATTTCTTCCAACCACTGAGTCGATTTCCGCTTGTGCGCGTCTCTGAACGTCTGGATATAATACCATCGCCAACATAAAAACCATCAAAAGTGCTGAAGTCTGTAACGAGGATAAGGGGCGGACAACGTGATAGAGTTACTCACTTACCGTCTCATATGCAGCTGTGTGATATTGGTGTATGTTGAGAGGACAATGTTACTTGTAAAAAAGCTTACTTACCCGCAAGACCGGTAGCAGCTGCTTTCTTCAGGGCATTCTCAAATACAGGTTTGAATACCTCCTCTTGCGTTTCCATCCGTCGCAAATTTTCTGCAACCATTGAAGATTGAGCGAGGAACGAACTGTCGGCCTTTGTGAAGGTCGAATCAATGTCTGGAACCAAGAGAAAAACCAATACCCACCATGTGCCGTTGCGCATATCGAAACGGCACGTCGACCATTTTATTGACGCGCTCTGTCGAATTTAGAGCACTACGCTTGATCGAGGATCCCCAGCACCAGTCAGGTAACTTGAGTACTACATTCCACGAAGGTGCCTGTCATGTTAACGCTTTCTCATCCAAGTGAGTTGAGCTCACAGAAGGGGAAAGTTTTAAGCATCAACGCTGTCTCCGGGGTCAACAGGGCCGAGCTCAGATTCAGTGCCTCTACCACAATCTTCACCAGAGGATCATTACGAGCTCCTATATCGTAGCCATATGTAGCTGACATCACAACAGACAACGAGAATCTGTGAACAAGTAAATAATCGTTCAATTCGTGAAAAGAATTCATCTGCTGACGTTGCGAAGTGGTCATGATAATGTTGAGGGTCATCGACTAGGTTGACGACCATCTCACGAGCCCGCCTGATCTGCATTGGGCGAAATTTCACTGCAGACTCGGAACGGAACGTTTGGTGGAACAGTCGTCGGCAGAGACGCCATTCATCGCCATAACCCATGAATGCAAAGCTTAACGACCAGCCATACCTGCAAGAACCTCGGACTAGTTGAATAGCATAACATTGGAAGAACGCACGGCTCAATTGTGGCTAGGTATGGTCGATCGGAGTAAATCCGTGAACGCTTGTCCAATAAGGCTCCTGCAATGCGCTCAGAATCGACCACGACGATGTTCTGGTCTAGAATTCGCACGAAGACCAAATCCCCTGATATAACGACATGCAGCACATATACCCTATACAATCTGTTCACGTACCATACGCAGCACTCCATTCAGTGTAAGTTAACCAAGGCTCCCGAGTATCAACAGATAAGACGTTCCCTACCAACGGGAGCGGCGCTGGGCCAGGAGGAAGAGGAAGCTTATTCTGTCGCTTCTTGATGAGCCGCTCAAGTGCCGTGACGGCGAAAAAGGAAAGAGAGATGCCGGCGAGGATAGCAAGGCGACCATCGACTGCAGGGGCCATGATTGACCAGTGGGTTAGCAAACTGTATATAATGCAACCGTCCTTGTGACCACGGGGAATTAGTAAAGCGTCGTCGATTATGCAGCTCAGCGATGCATCTTCTTGCTATATATACGCCGGGCGGCAGGGGCAGCTGATGATCTGGCCGGATGGGGTAAGGAAGGATATGATCAGAGGAAAATACATACACATTGACAAGATATGAAATTTTGAAAGGGCGTAAGATCAAGTAAGCGGCATACACATTGGAGCGTCGCGCTTGGCCATCTTTGCATTCCAGATTTTTACTGCATCCTCATGGTTTGTGCCCATCGCAAATTTTGTGTTATTGGGTAAATAGATCACCACCCACACGAACGTCTCCACCGCTGTCTCCGCTCTTTACATCCCACATTCCGGAGTGAGTCGTATTATGCACCATCCCCCAGTCAGGTGCATAACATTTTGCACTAGATCGACTCTTGCTCCTTGCTGGTCAGAGAAGACATGGTTGGCATTTGATGGCTATAGTAAATCTTGATTATGTATGCGAGCAAAGTCCTTGAATGAGAGGGTTTGTGTGGCAGCTAGTGAGTCTACGGGCCTATCTTTTGAGATAGTCACAAGAACTTGCAGGTGACATGTCTTGTCGCTATCGAAAAAGCCTGGCAGTTCTCGGCGGTGATCCTTGGGCCTGGCTCGACATTGTAGGTTCACTTTAAGATGTCGATTTTATAACGGTTAAAAAGACAAAGAAGCTTGTCACATACAGAAAGTCTGAGAGTCAGTCTGGGAACTAGATAGTTCGGGGATCACGTGTTCCCACTGTTCCAGTGTAACTGACTATTTTTGAGGCGCCGGGTGTCTGTCTGACGTTAACATTTCAATTTGGGGTGCCCACTTCCAACCCACTTCATCCTTAACGAAGCCAGTGATCGAGTTGCAGGTTGTTGGAATGCCCTTGCACATCCCTCGATGAAAATAGTCTATATACTGAAGCTTACAGAGGTAGCAAAATTGTCTGAGGATCCAGTTGGCAGTTAGATGATATTCTCAAGTAGTGACGTACCTCCATACTTGTCCGATGATAGAATTCATTGCTTGTAAGCAATTGGAGAAAAATTGAGTGCTGTAGACGAAAATTATGAACTAACAGGTAGTCACAAAGTCACTGTAGGGGATAGTATGATACATTTCCGTTTATTGCAACTGCTAACCTGGTACACATATTTGATTGACCACTCCTCTAGTGCCCCCCTAATCAGACTACGGATGGCGCAAACTGTCATCGTCCCATATTTCAAAACCCGGTTCGCCAACTGTTCACAAGGTCTGAATGAATGTGAGACCGTGCCAAAATACTGCAAGGGAAGACCGCAGGATGGCTGAAGCAATGAAACTGTTAGTGACGAGAGAAAGAATGATATGAAGAAGTCAAGTACCGAGCCACTCCCGTGATAAACGTGGGAGTAAAGCTGACCACTTTGCCCTGGTCATCTTTGGCAGAAGATATATCCAATGTGGCCAACATAGTCACAACGGCAGACCACGCAGAGGCATCAGCAGTATACCGCCCTGATTAAAGTCTGTCTGTCAGCGAATCTTTTATAGGATTAAAATGATTTGACCTGGACATATACGCCGGCCAAAGCCAAAAACGTATTGTGTGGGGTCATCAGCTACCAACACGCCATCACTATCGATGAACCTCTCTGGTATAAAACGAGATGCGTCAGAATAACGCTTTTCATCCCGCGTAATGCCCCTACAATCAAGTCAGTGTCACGGAAGCTGGGAGTAACATATCAATACCATGTGTTGTACGTGACGATTGTGCCTGATGTACAGTATTACAAATGATCATTGTATGGATCGGACAAAAACAGTGCTGCGGACCTTTCGGAATGAAATAACCATTGTATACGTCATCACTTGAGGTAGCATGTGGTACGCCTATGAGATCTTCAGTGCAGGCCAAATCATTTGACAAATAAGAATACCAAGGGGTGCAACAGGCTGCCATCGGAAAGTCTCCCGTACAACCGCCTCGATGTAGGGTAGTGATGCTCTGTCCTCGAATGTTGGCAGTCGCTCTCTTCCAACTACTGAGTCGATTTCCGCCTGTGCACGTTTCTGAACGTCTGGATATAATACCATGGCCAACAGAAAAATCATCAAAAATGCTGAAGTCTGTAACGAGGATAAGGAGCGGACAACGTGATGGAGTTACTCACTTACCGTCTCATATGAAGCTGTGTGATATCAGTTTATGTCGAGAGTACAACATTGCTTGTGAAAAGCTTACGTACCCATAATAGCAGTTGTAGCTGCTTTCTTCAAAGCATCCTCGAATTCAGGTTTGGGTGCAACCTCTTGTGTCTCCATCCGTCGCAAATTTTCTGCGACCATCGAAGATCGAGCAAGGAAAGAGCTGTCAGCCTTTGCAAAATATCAAATCAATTTCTGGAACTAAGAGAAAAAACAAATACTCACCATGTGCTGTTGCACATGTCGAAATGGCACGTCGGCCATTTCATTCATGTTCTTGGTCGAAACTCGAGCACTACGTTTGATCGAGGATCCCCAGCACCAGTCAGGTAACTTGAGTACTACATCCCACAAAAGTGCATGTCATGTTAGCGCTTTCTCATTTCAGGTGAGTTGAGCTCACAGAAGGGAAAGGTCTTGAGCATCAATGCTCTCTCCGGGGTCAACACAGCCGAGCCCGGAATTAGTGCCCTTACGACAATCTGCACCAGAGGATCATCACGAGCACCGATATCATAGTCATATACAGCTGACATCACAACAGATAACGAGAATCTGTGAACAGGTAAATAATCGTTCAATTTTTAAAAATCATTTGCTGACGTTGCAAAGTGGTCATAATGATGTTGAGGGTCGTCGACTAGGTTGACGACCATCTCACGAGCCCGCTTGATCTGCATTGGCCGAAATTTGACGGCAGACTCGGGACGGAAAGTTTGGTGGAAGAGTCGCCGGCAGAGACGCCATTCATCACGATAACCTAAGAATGCAAAGTTGATTGACAGGCCATATCTGCAAGAACCTCAGTCTGAGTGGATAGAAGGATAGTGAAAGAACGTACGGCTCGAGTGTGGCTAGGTATGGTCGATCGGAGTAGATCCGAGAACGCTTGTCCAATAAGGCTTCTGCAATGTGCTGAGAATTGACCACGACCATTTCCTCATCTAGGCTTCGCACGAAGACCAAGTCCCCTGATATAATGATTCGTCACACATATTATGCCATATCCTATCTGTTCACGTACCATACGCAGCACCCCATTCGGTATAAGTCAGCCAAGGCTCCTGAGCGTTAACGGATAAGACGTTCCCTAACAGTGGGAGCGGCACTGGGCCAGGAGGAAGAGGAAGCTTATTCTGTCGCTTCTTGATGAGCCGCCCAAGTGCCTTGACGGCAACAAAGGAAAGAGAAATGCCAGCAAGGATAGCAAGGCGACCATCAACTGCAGGCGCCATGATTGGAGCAGTGGGTTAACAAACCGCATATGATGCAATCGGCTTTATAACCACGGGGAAGTAGGAAATCGCCGTTGATTATGCAATTCGGCCCATCGCCATATATACATTGCTTTTTGACTCCTCCTTACCGGTCGGTGAAGTCATGGTAGGTGTTCGATGACTACAGCAGATGTTGACTATGTACGCGAGCGAAGGCCAGAAAAATAGTTGGATGAGATGGTTTATCTGCAGGAATTGCTGGTGAGTTTTAGACTACAGGTCTAGTATCTTCTGAAACAGTCACAAGAACTGGTTAAAAATGGAATCTTCTTGTCGCCATTGAAACATTGCTGGCGGTAATCGGTAGCGATCCTTAAGCTTGAGCGCTCAAGCTCGGCTCGACTGTGTAGCGTCCCTTAAGTTAGCATTTTAAAACGGTCAAGAAGGATCAAGAAACGTTACATACAGTCGACTCCCTCCTAACGCATACCAGGTATAACCCATACTCCCTCATAGGACATACATTTTTGGATTTCCCAAGTTGGTTTGCGGGGATTTTGTGAGCATAACCCATAGGTATTTTTGGCAATCACATCAGTAAACTACAAATTTCCCCACAGACATCGACATTTTTTACAGTTTCCCACAGTAACCCACAGAGGGACAGCGCTCACAGCACGTTTCTGCGGGGCATCAAATTTTTTCAACAGTAACCTACAGTAACCCACAGCGGGACAGCACTCACAGCACATTTCTCGCGGACATCAATTTTTTCTCAACAGTAACCCACAGAGAGACAGAGCTCACAGGATGTACAGCCTCACAGTGTTTTTCAGTAAAATAGCTACCTCGAGCGCTAGTAGTAGCAGTACCTGAAAGTACTTAGAATTAAAATTTAAAGTCACACAATTTGAAGAAGTCAAGCGTCGAGATGAAACAAAATTTTATGTTCATATTTACTATACTACTATACTACTAGGTACCAGTACCACTAAATACAAACTATTTGACACAATTTGAAAGAAGGGATGAGGCATCAGTCCAACTGGATGGTTAGCTGATGGCAGGATGTGAATGAGTCTACGATGAGGTTAGTTGGTAGTGGTGTATACATAATAAGAGTACTTACCAAGAGAACCGTGTGCTGGCTGATGAGAAAGACCGTGTTTTTTGAATGTGACACGCATATGGCCTAGTCCTACATCGGCCTTGTCAAGCTTCCGCTTGGAAATGACAGACTTGTATTTCGAAAGACTGGTCATGACCTCGTGCTCTCGCACAATGCAATCGGCAAGTTTTTTCTCCGCATTAAATATATCGCGTCGGGCCCTTGCGAGGTCCATGATAAGGTTGGCTTCACAGTCATCAACATCATTGATGGTCTGTACGCACATTAACGAGCAGTGCCTTAGTAAGAGTCAGATATCAGTCACTTACCATTGACCCAATAGCATTGACCACGTCGTACAAGTCAGCGATGCCACTACTGGGAGGCTCACTCAAAGTTCGGCTCGCTTGCCACTTATTGGAGTTTTGTGGGCGCATATTTGACAATGATGGTACACCGCTAGAAATATTTAGGTGGATTGGTACATCGGACATGGGTGTTTTGAGAATATGGCTTATTGATTCCGCAAATTACTTACAGCTTACTTCCGAGCCTCAGAATCTCATGCATCGATCGTATGGCATTCCAGTGTCCTTCGTGCGGCAAAGGTGGTTTCAAGGATGATGTAGCTGTTGCTCGTCACATGAGCCAACCTCGCTCTGGCTGCAGTACATGGCTGCAGGATTTGATATGCTCGCGCTCCGAGTCTGATATGGACGATGAACCTGTGAGTACTAATACTATGTGTTACGACAAACGGTCGTGTGTGACTAGGATAATCTAACAGCAACAACCACGACAGTGGTACCAAGTGCTGAGAGTCGTCGGCCTTTACAGACAAGCAAAGGTTGTGTACTCGAACGTAGCTCGTGGTGGTTAACGAGGGGTTACGCTGAGATGATAGCGGTTTTACAGACAGTGAGAGGCGTCACTGAAGGTACAAGTCGATGTCGAGCAGGTAGCTTTAGTGGGACAAGGAGTTCAAGGGTAAACCTAGTAAGATTAAAGTAAGGAACATCTACTGTTAATCTTCGACCTTATATAAGGCTACTCTTCGTATCTAGACTCAGCCTAAAGCTGGGTTCTAATCTGCTTATCTACATGAGTCAGAGATAGCGTCCATGAGGCGGGCTTCTATCGTAGATAGGATCCATGAGGTATCCTTCTATCAGTACATGAGGCAACACGAGGCTTGCCTTCTATCTTGATAACATAAATAGGTCTTCTAGACCTATGTCGTCATGTGTCGTCACGTGCGGTCCAGACCGCTTATCTAAGCCGGCAGTTGCCACTTATCGTCTATCATCATCTGTCGTCATCTATTGTTATAGAGCTGGTGAGACTCCGGTATCGTCTACAGCCATGCGGTGGCAGAGGGCTGTCTGCTGGCAGGGGACTCATGCCATGTTACTGTAACACTATGGACGACGGACCACATACTATTCCCGACATCGAGACTGGTGGTTTTGGAGATTGGGATGAGATGTTTGGAGGGAGTAGTAGTGAGCGCCAGGCTTACGAAGAGAGGACACCAACTCGTAACTCAGAAGTTATCAACTCGTATCCTGACTGTGCTCGATCATACGGCAGGGGCTACACGTTCCTTGACTTATTCAATTCAGATGAGAACAGCAAACACCGTGCAACAAATCCATATTATCCATTCAGTGGCCAGAAAGACTGGGAAGTTGGGTCATGGCTACTTCACTCTGGATTAAGCATGGGGAAGATAGACAGTTTTCTTTCGCTCGACATGGTGAGTAATAAATTCTTTTTGATAATATACAATTTTTGAAGGTGTCTTCTTTAGATAAAGACCCTTCCGTTGTCGTTCCATTCGGCCAAGGAACTGCGCGGCAGAGCGGAAATGTTGCCTAGTGGCCCATGCTGGATGTCTCAAGTAGTACCTACAGCACATCCCACGAAATCGCCCATTGTCTTGTATTGGCGTGATCCCTTAGATTGTATTTCGGGCCTTCTCAACCACCCTGCCTTTCACGACCATCTAGACTTTACGCCTCGCAGGGTGTATAGCACTGCGCAGCGGCTGTGTCACGTGTATTCAGAGTGGATGACTAGTGATGATGCGTGGAATATGCAGGTACGTATAGTTTCATCTGTGCGAGTTGTCGTACTTATCGATTTTCGGACAGTCAGCCCTACCAAGAGGTGCAACACTCCTGGGGACCATCTTATCGTCTGACAAGACGAATATATCAACCATGACAGACGACAGAGTTGCACACCCCCTTCTTATTAGTCTTGCCAACATAGGCATGTCCACGTGACTCAAGTCATCTTCGAATGCCTTTGTGCTTACCGCTCTACTTCCCGTCCCAAAATTCATCCACAGGAAAAAACGCATGCGAGGCGTACTTGAGGATCGCCTCATTCATGAATGCTTAGATATTGTTCTCCGTCCACTCAAGCTGGCTGCTCACGAAGGAGTCATGCTATCGGACCCTGTTGGACACAGTCACTACTGTTTTACACCACTTGCAAACTACATTGTCGATACCCTGGAGGCCATGATGCTGGCTGCTGTTGGCGGGAAAACCTCCCCAGTCACTATGGCCATGTACAAACAGTTTGGAGACCCCTTCCGTCATGAGCCTCGCACACGAGCAACTACACTCTCCCAGCTGGACATTGCACGGAGTAAAGCTGATCCCAACGACATCGAGGCATTTTTTCGCGAAGCACAGAAGTTTCGTTTGAATGGCGTGAATGCACCATTCTGGATGGATTGGGTCCTCAGTGATCCATCACATTTTCTCACTCCCGAATTTCTTCACCTCATTCATCGTGAGTTCTACGATCACGACGCAAGTGGCTTATTTGTGCAGTAGGTGATACAGAGATTGACTTTCGGTTCTCTGTGTTGCAGGCTGTCACTGGGTTCCGTCATTTTCATGGCGGGATTTCAAAGCTCAAACAGGTTACAGGACGTACTCAACATGACATTCAACGCTCGATCATTGCAGTCAGTGCGGATGCAATACCTAGCGCAGTGATGACTGCTGTACGAGCTCTGATGGACTTTCGATATCTCATACAGTCACCCGTAATTGACGACATCCTACTCGCCCGAATTTCCACTGCACTTGATCATTTTCACGCTAACAAAGATGCTATTATAGAGGGTGGATTTCGTCGTGGTCAGCGTGGCAGAGTTATTGAGAACTGGTACATACCAAACTTGAGCTCATGCAGTCCATAGTTCCAAGCATAAGGAACATTAGAGTTTCTCTGCAATGGACAGCTGACACCACGGAGCATGCCCACATAACGGAAATCAAAAGTCCTGCTCACTTGAGCAATAATAATAATTATGATCCCCAGATATGTCGCCATCTTGACCGTGCTGATAAATGCCGCCACTTTGACCTCGCTATGAGTCTGCTCGACAATGTCCCAGACTCGGGGCAGCAGGATCCAGATGATGATGAGAAGGATGAGAATGTCGATTTCGACGTGGACGACGATTGCAATATCCCAGCAGATCTTCTTACGACAATGAAATACCCTGGACATTCGCGTCCAATCACCAATTACTTTGGAATTGCCAAGGTCCTCCAGCACAGGGAAGTGGGGACAGTCCCTGTGCCACTGCGCTCATTCGTTGTCAAACACACAGCATTTCACCTCACCTACGACCCTTCTATTAGAAATATATCTGTTGACGATGCTGCCATTAAGTTTGGTCTTCCTGACTTATGACCAGCTATTGCTGACTTTCTTCGTCGTGAGGCTACTCACGGGAGGGATCACATACATACTATTGGGGGGGCTAGAAGAGCTGGACCTACTGCTTCACTTCCCTTCGACAAACTTCAAGTCTGGTTTAAACTTTGGGTGCAGGACACCAATTTCCACCATGCTAGCATCATACGGCCTGCACAGACCCTCAACTGTGCACCTCCTTCTGATCCCTGGACATGTGGCCAGTATGACACAGTCATTATTAACAACGAGGCGGGGTACTTATGGCCAGAAGATGGTCTTCGTGGTACGTTATGATCTTATGTCACGCTGAATGTTCACTTATTGTCAAGTCGCAGGTCATACGATTGGCCAAATCAGGCTTATCATGCGTGCTATTGGAAAAAGTGGCACGAATTGGTCATGGAAGGACCACTTTCTGGTTTACGTGCATCACTTTGACATTGTTTCTCAAAGCTCCGGTGCTGATGATCGTGAGCCAAGTACGCAGCTCCACTTGCTCAAATGAGTGAAGCGTTCGAATGGCACTTGGGTGGGCGATGTCATACCTGTGACACAGCTCAGAGCACCTGTCAACCTTGTCCCTTGCTTCAGTGCAAGTGCGGACAACCGTCTCACCCCATATAATAGCATGGAACATGCTTCTCAGTTTTGGCTCAACAGGTATTGGGATAAGAATGTATATTTTCCCCTTTCCATGTAGCTTTTGGTGTAGCTTCCATACTATGCAACGTTCGTGATGGTCGAGTGGTCTAGCCTATGCCAGTAGTTATACTAGTCTGTTTTATTCTTAGATCACCGAACTGAGTACTTTTGATGGGCGCTAGCGATAAGCTCGTCGTTTGTCCCATTATTGTCCGTGTACGAAAAAATGGCATTCTTTTTCAGGACCATTGACAACGGAATTAAACTGTCATTGTTGTTGTCTATCCCCGATGTCACCGACGTCCATACTATGAACAAGATCACCTCTGACGAGCTCAATCGTCTGGTCACTCACGAGGGTTCACCAGAGGCCTCACAACTGCTGGGACACCTGCTCTCCAAAATATTTCAGTCTTTTACAGTTCCTCTTCCTGATGTATTCAGCCTTACAATCCCATTCGGAAAAATCCTTTATCACAACCAACGCATCAACGAGAAATTCAGCGGGACATCGCCCGATACTCTTGTGCCACTGTATGATACTGAAGCGAAGGCTTGGAACTGGGCTCTTCCAGTTGACCCTCCTAAAAATGCCAGTAGTAGTAGGAGTCATTCGGCTCAGGGCGCAGACTCGGAGGGTGAGTCAGAGGGCGAGTCAGAGGGCGATGATATGCAGGAAGCAACTCACAAAGAAATCTTTGCTGCGTTTCTCAATGCTCTGGCCGGCTGCTTAGCAGCGTCACAGCCCAAGCTAGTAGAAATGCGCTTTGCAACCAGCACATGGAGCGCAGCCAGTGCACAGAAGGCATTACCTGGCAGCGACATCAAGCGCAAGCCAGATCTTGTTCTATCTGACGATATATCGGCAAAGTGGGGGAACATCAGGGTATCAGCCGAACTCACTCACAGTTGATACCGGCCTGCGATGCGACTCGGGAAGGCTGCAGATACCCATGCCTATATTATGATGAGTGAACAGCCATGGAGGCGGTTTGCTCTCATATTATCATTCACAGACGAATATCGCCACCTTAGAGTCCTAATGTATGATCACTCTGGTGGTGCCGTGTCTCCTCACTTCAATATTTACAAACAACCGGACATATTTTCACACATCATCGCTGCTATCAATTTTGGGAGTCTAGAGTGCATTGGCTATGATCCGACAGTTTCATTCTCAAAGGTTGTTTCCCCACCCCGATCCAAAGATATCCACTGCTATCGTCCCATTAGAAACGCTCCTGCCCGACCAAGTATGATGGACTGTACTATTGCTGTATCCACTTCCTCCCTTCCATTTCCCGAGGATCCTGATGGAATGTCGTCCAGTGATGCCCTTGAATTAGTAGTCGCTGGTGACTCTGATGATTCCTCTAGTGACTCTGACTCGACGGAAGAAAGTCCGAGTGGTTCCGCTACACATTACTCAATGGATGAAGAGCATTTCCCAACCCCCTCCCTCCCAGTGCACCCCACTGCAACCCGTTGAAGGTTCAACGATACAGCGAGGCACAAACAATGCTCCTGACTGTATCTATAATTGTTGTAAGGTCGTGCGTTGCCTAGTCTGCTATACTTGAGACGACAAGTGCGTTCGACCCTAAAGGGGAAGCGAGTGCAACAAGGATCTAGAGGTATGCACTGAAAGCGCTACTGGTTGGCCAATGCGAAGCGCGGGAATGCGCGCGCGTGTATGCGGAAACAAGAGAGAGTAAGAGTGAGTTTGCTTAGGTGATGATATGATGTAAGACAAGAGAAGGGAGATGCGAGGTGTAAACAAATAGATTTCTACTATGTTCTGCTAGGTAAATAGTGGGTAGTAACCAGTAAGTCCTCTGTCGTTCTGGTGGGAGAGTAAGTTAGTAAGTAAGTATGTACTGCTGGCGCTTAAGTATGGCGCCTAAGCGCTGTCATGCGGAGCCGAAGCGCTACCGAGTAAGGTATGTAAAGATATATGTAAGTAAGGGTCCATGATAAAAATAAAGATGGAACAATATGCAAATGTGAGAAATGGAAATATACGCACTAGGGAACTTGGTGGACAGTGGATGGATGCTTCCGGATGGCTGGCGCTATAGGGCGCTACAGCGCGGGAAAGCGCGCGCGCATATACATCGTGAAGTGCGGGAAAGGTACGCGCGCATGGCGCGCGTTGCGCTGGGAAAGCTGCGCCTCATATAGAGATAGCTGCAGGTAGCACACAGAGTGATGCTACAAGTTCGTGCCATGTACTCCCCAGTGAAAACTGCCATATTGCACAATGAGAGGCATGAGTCTCTACATCTCCCAGGGACTTAAATTCTGAGTGTCCCCACTCAGCGCGTGTGTGGTGAGGATCTCGAGTGATAGTATGCGAGTACGATGCATGTACGATGCTTGGGTTGTTGGGCGATGAATGCGCACGCGTAGGAATGTATCACATGGTATGCACGAAGCGCGGGAATGCGCAGGTGCGCGCGAGGCGCGAAGGTGCGGGAAAGTGCGCGCGCATATGCGCTCGAGGCGTGGGAATGCAAT